TTGACGTTGTGGCAGGCTTATGCAATGTATGATCATATAATGTAACTAATCCCCCATTATTTTTTGACTAGATAAGGTGTTTTTAATAAAATTAGCAAAATAGCTGTTTAGCAGATAAGGGAGTGCGCTGGATTTTTATTTTTACTGTACTTATTGGCCCCCCAGCAGCACCCCATTTAAGCATGTTCAGGTGAGTGCAGCCAGCCCCTTGTTTTCTCATAGCTATATAAATAATAACATAATAATAAGAATAATAATAAGAATTGCACAGTACTGTGAAATTTGTTGTATGTTATGATGATTTATAAAACACCCTCAGATCACCAGGACATCCCTGACCCAATCTAGAAAGTGCTTTGCAACATCATGCTTCACTGCATCCAAATTTCTGACTATTTCACCCTCCCAGTCCTGACAGTCTATTGAAGTTTATCCTATGAAGTGCTGGGTCCCTAAAGACATGAGCTTGTCATGGAAACCATTGTTTAGGGTGGAACACCAATGTATCAATTTATATATATATATAAAGTCAAAAAAATCAGCACTCCCAGGAATTTTGCAAAAAATCCAAACTTATCTTTATTCCAGTAGTCAACGTTTCAGTTCCACTGGGGAACTTTCATCAGGACAGAAAACCAAATTCATCAGGACAGAAAACCTTTTTCTGTCCTGATGAAAGTTCCCCAGTGGAACTGAAACGTTGACTACTGAAATAAAGATAAGTTTGGATTTTTTGCAAAATTCCTGGGAGTGCTGATTTTTTTGGCTTTATCTATTTAGTGCAATCAAGCACCGAGTTTATTTAAATGTACATGGGAGTGCAAGGTTTTTCTGGGTTTATTTTATTATATATATTTTTATTTTATTTTTTTATTATATATATATGTGTGTAATAGTATTTCCTTCTTAACCCCTTCAGGACGGGTGACGGACGAGGTCCGTCACACAGGGGAGACCCTTAACGACGGGTGACGGACCTCGTCCGTCACGCGGTAAAATTAACCCCGGATCGCCGCTATCGCGGCGATCGCGGGGTTAATGGTGCTCCCGGTATGCCTCTGCATTGGAGGCATACCGGGAGCACCCGGTCAAGCTGCCCAGCACATGTGCTCGCTCTGACCACAAGTCGGAGCGAGCACATGTGCTCTGTATACTCACCTACCGGCTCCCTGCACTTCCGGGTTCTGTGTGAAGTGCAGGGAGCCGGATCAGTGCTGATCCTGCCCCCTGCTGGAAAAAAAAATAAAGTTTATTTAAAGTCCCCCCCCCCCTTACCCATTTTAATAAAAAATTAACCCCTTCCCTGCCAATTGATCACTGACTACAGTGATCAATTGGCAGGGATTACATTTTACTATGATCTGATTTTTTTTTTAACCCCTGAGGGTTAATTCTTTTTTTTTTAACCCTCAGGGGTTAAATTAATTAAATTAATTAATTAAATTATTTTTTAATTATATATTTAGATAGCTGGGGTGGGTGGAAGTTAGTGGGGAATTGGGGGATTTGGCGTTAGGCTAACTAGGGGTTAACGTTAAAAAAAAGTTTTAAAAGAAACTTTAAAAAGTTAAAAATTAAGCTTAAAAAATGTTTTAATAACATTTAAGTAAAAAAAACAAAAAAACACACTTTACCTAGTCCAAATAAAAATTAACCCCTTCCCTGCCAGTCGATCACTGCCTACAGCGATCAAATAGAGATCACAGTATTATACTGTGATCTAATTTTTTTTAACCCCTGAGGATTAACTTTTATTTATTTTTTTAACCCTCAGGGGTTCAATTTATTTAATTAATTAATTTAAATATTTTATAACTATATATTTTGCTAGCTGGGGTGGGTGGGAGTTATGGGAAAATGGGGAATTTACTGTTAGTGCTGCGTACTGCTAGTTAGGGGTTAACGGTAAAAAAAAAGCTTAGAAAAATGTTAAATCTGTAAAAAAGTTTTAAGAAAGTTTAGGAAAGTTTAAAAAAAATTTATAAGCAAAACAAAAGTTTAAAAACTAGTTTTTAAAAGTAAAAAAGTTATAAAAAGTAAAAAAATACATTTTAAAAACGCTCATTACCACTACACCTGGAGCAAACTAGAGAAAAAATTATCCCACGCCAAGGTTCAAAATATGCCTTTTGAATTACCCCAGGGTGTATTCTTTAATAAATAGTATGTGTTTGTGGGGAAGTTTCAATAACCAACCGTCTAAACTACTCCAAATTGGAACATGGACACAGCGTAAAACTTCAAAGTTAGAAAAAAACTGAATGGCTGCGTCTCAAATGCGCCCCTTCAACATCCACATATACCTGGCAAAGGTACATACGGGGGTATTGCTGTACTCAGCCGACATAGCTGAGCAACATATGAAGTATTATACAGTCATAGCACACATAAGGTTTGCAAAATATGCTGCGCAAACTCACTTTGTATGTCAAAAAGGCAGAAAAAATGCTTATTACCACTACACTTGGTACAAGCTAGCGGAAAAATGATCCCACGCTAAGGTTCAAAATATGCCTTTTGAAATACCCTGGGATGTCTTCTTTAAGAAATGGTATGGCTTTATGGGGAATTTGGATTATATAGCCTGGTAAAATACTCTAAAATGGGACATAGGCACAGCATAAAAATTCAAAGTTTGAAAAAAACTGGAATGGCTGTGTCCCAAATGTGCCCCTCCGATGTCCACACATACCTGGCAAAGGTACATACGGGGGTATTGCTGTACTCAGCCGACATAGCTGAGCAACATATGAAGTATTATACAGTCGTAGCACACATAAGGTTTGCAAAATATACTGTGCAAACTCACTTTGTATGTCAAAAAGGCAGAAAAAACGCTTATTACCACTACATCTGGTACAAGCTAGCGGAAAAATGATCCCACGCTAAGGTTCAAACTATACCTTTTGAAACACCCTGGGGTGTCTACTTTAAGAAATGGTAGGCCTTTGTGGGGTAGTTTGAATTTAAAACCTGCGAAGATGCTTGGAAATTGCACATAGGCCAGCGTCAAAATTCAAAGTTTGGTAAAAACGGATATGGCTTGGTCTCCTATATGGCACTGTAGCTTCACGAAATAGTGCCAAAGACATTCATATGGGGTGTCATTTTACTCAGAAGACTTAGCTGAGCATAATTTGGGGGTTTGAACTTAGTGGCACATATGAAATATACAAAACGCCCAGCAAAAATGCAATGCGTATGTAAAAAATGCACAAAATTATTTTTTACCACATACTTTGGCATATATTGGTGAAAAAATGGGGGCATGTTAAGGCACAATATGCACCTTATAAGATACCCTGGAGTGTCTACTTTTACAAATGGTAGGCCTTTGTGGGGTTTTTTTGAACAGTCAAACTGTTATAATACCCCAAATGGAAGCTAAGGCTCATTAAATCCATCTCTCAAAATTCTACTGTGAATACTGTAAAGGACAGGTCTCCTATATGGCACTGTAGCTTCACGAAATAGTGCCAAAGACATTCATATGGGGTGTCATTTTACTCAGAAGACTTAGCTGAGCATAATTTTGGGGGTTTGAACTTAGTGGCACATATGAAATATACAAAACGCCCAGCAAAAATGCAATCCGTATGTAAAAAATGCACAAAATTATTTTTTACCACATACTTTGGCATATATTGGTGAAAAAATGGGGGCATGTTAAGGCACAATATGCACCTTATAAGATACCCTGGAGTGTCTACTTTTACAAATGGTAGGCCTTTGTGGGGGGTTTTTGAACAGCCAAACTGTTATAATACCCCAAAATGGAAGCTAAGGCTCATTAAATCCATCTCTCAAAATTCTACTGTGAATACTGAAAAGGACAGGTATCCTGTATGGCACTGTAACTTCACGAAATAGTGCAAAAGACATACAATGGGGGTGTCATTTTACTCAGCAGATGTAACTGAACACAAAATAAAACTTTGTACAGGAATAGCACACACCAATTTTACAAAATATACACGAGAATTTCTCTGTTATAAGTTTGTGTGCCAAAAACCAAAAAGAACACAATTTTACTCCAATATTTAGCAGAGGTTGGCGGTGAAATGGCTACGTAGAAAGTGTCAAAACAACCTTAGGTAAATAGCCCGTGATGTCTACTTTATATAAATATATACTTTTGTGTGGCAATTTTGTTTTCTTTTATGGCTATTAAGCTTACAAGACAAACATACCAAATTCTAAAATCGCTCCACATTAAAAGTTTATTTTACTCCTTGTGCTTTGTGACCTGTAACTACCAAAAAAAACTTAAAATCCCAGACACATTATATATTCTGTAAATCAGAACAAATAAATAAATTTATTTTTAATTACTTTCCTTAACCTGCACTAATTATGCACACATTATTATTGCAAAAACTGTAAAAAAAAACAATATTTTTCATTTTTTTTGCATTTTTCTGTATTTTTTTTATAATAAGTAAGCATTTATATATATATATATGTTATATCAAATTAAAGCCCTTTCTGTCCTTTAAAAAACAGTATATAATATGTGTCGGTGCAATAAATGAGAGAGATGCAGTTGAACGCAAACAGCAAGAAAATGCAAAAATTGCTTGTGTCATTAAGCATAAGTCAAGCTTCTGAAGCTGTGTCCTTAAGGGGTTAAAGAGTAAATTCAATATTTGTCAGTTTTTTCTAAACTACACTAAGCCATGTGAGAGCCAGCCCCTCTCTGGCACTCTATCCTTCCTGCCTGACCTTGACTACACTACAGTCACTCAGTGACCTCCACAGTCACAGGAAGTCAATGAGCAGCGAGCCGCTGGGACGCTCGGGATATGTAGTTCGATGCGGTTAACGCTCAGCTCTGTTCAAAGGAGTTGGAAACTACACGTCCCGGCATGCTCCTTCCGGAAGCCACCCCCCCCTTTTCTCGATCTAAGCGGAAGTGCAGAGGGCTGTGAGGCCAGTCTCTCCTGCGCAGCCATCATGTTCGGTCAGACAGTCCGGAGGTTCGCCACCTCTGCCGTCCGCAGCTCTCACTACGCCGAGGGGCCCGGCAAGGTAAGGAGGAGGCGGCCTCCCCGCTGTCACGGCCGGCAGGTTCCCCCCGGGCTGGGTATTGTCACTGGGGATGGTGTCAGGAGGGATGGGGCCTGCTGTCAGGCGGGCAGCCTGTCCTAGAGTGACCATGGACACAGCTCGCTTGCTGTACTAAGCAGGGGCAGTGTGCTTAGCCTTTCACTGGCTGAGGGTTGTGGGAGTGCCAACGGTTTGACCACTGTAACAGCTTCATTCAGAGCAAAGCAGGTACAGTCTGACTGTTGCATTATGGGTGTTGTAGTGCTAGGAAGGTAGGAGGTCTTGGGGTTTTTATTTTGGTTTTTTTTTGTTCCACTCCTAATTCAAGGTGGGTTACTGAGACTGTACGGGTTTCTAGGTTTTATTTTTTACGTTTTGATATTCTATCTGGCACACATGATGATAGCTTTTATCTATGATTTGTCTGTGATACTGTAAACGCTTTCTGATGTGCCTGGTGCAGTGGGTTATTGCACGTGGGTAGAGGCGCCCTGGGGTGCATTGTTCGACTGAATGTGAGCTCTGACACTTAATGCTAGAAAACTTTGGAGATGGTTAGAGTTGCTCAAAAAAGAGGCCTGTGTGAAAAGGATTTTTTTTTTATCTTAAATGCAGTGAATATCTATATATATATATATATATATATATATATATATATATAATCTATCGCGCTCTCTCTCTCTCGTTAAAGGAATACTAGCGTTAGAATTGCAAACATGAATTTCTAACACTAGTGGAATCACCATATAAAATGTTTGTTGACCTTCAATTGAAAGAAAGCTGTTTACTTAACGCTTAGCCCCCAGTGTGTCCTCTTCAGCTGAGAGCATTAATTCTGATGATCTCGGCCAGATCACCACTAACCCCTTATGGAAGCACTGGGAGAATTAGTGTGCATTAGCTGTAAATCACAACGCTAAGCATTGATATGCACGGAGTTAGTGCATCTCTATGGGAACATTCTGTGTTGAGCGTGGAAGTGCTAAACATGATCGGTTTTGCAAGCATTGCACTAAAATAAGCTGTAGTGGTGCTGGTGCCTATAATGTCCTTTTAAAACCAAGATCAGTTCCTAAAGAAACCAGTAGAATGCCATACTTTGTCGCCATGAAAACAATTATTTTTACATTGCAATGCAAGTACTAGCTAGTTGAGTTATTACATGTTGACTGTGATCATAATGTGTATAGTATTACCTTTTTTTTTTTTAAACTTTTTTTTTTTCAGAATTTGCCCTTTTCAGTTGAAAACAAATGGCGACTGTTGGGTTTGATGACACTCTTTTTTGGCAGTGGATTTACCTTTCCGTTCATCATCGTTAGACACCAGCTTCTGAAAAAATGAATACATTGACAAAGGTAGCTGTCAATGCTTCTCTTACCAGTGTAAAATAAAGAGAATGTGACATTACTGGAATACTTTTTTGTTATTCTTCTAGTTCTATTACCTGTTAAATAGCCTTGACTTTGTCATGAGTTGACTCCTCTGACAAGTAAAAATTCACTTTCTTGGAAAAATACACTCGTTTTTTGTGCATATGATGATAAAGTAACAGTATGATAAAGAATGATCCTGTAAACGCTTTCTGATGCACATTTAATATTCATAATGTGAATACTGGAGTCAAATGTAACTTAACATATTATGCCACATTATCTTCCTCCATTTATATATTTGTATTTTATTTTTTAGGAGCGAATTTTGTTCTGTGATGGATGGACCATATTTAAATTTTCCCATTGTGCAAGACATGGATTGTAAATAAACAATTACTTGTGACCTCTATTGCTGTTTGGTTGTTTTTTTTTTTTTTGGTTTTTTTTTAACTGTCCTTTAACACTAAATTACAAAATGACAGAAATTCATCTCATCAGTGACTGTCACCACTTCACTTGAAATTGTAAAGCAGAAAATAGTTTAACTATAGCTTACTATTTCATAAATTAAGTTTATTAGGGCACAACTCACTTGCCAGGTGAAAATGAACACTAGAAAGATGGGGGCATTTGTCAGCTTCATGTAAGTAAATGCACATTTTAGCTTCTCACTATGGCTACTGTACAATGAATGTGCATGTTACTTACAGAGGTCTGCAACATATGCAAAGACTCTGAAAGCAACAGCTGCATTAATTGTAGATCATCGTTGTGTATTTGAGTACTGCCAGGTTGTGTCATCTTCAGTGCTGTCTAGTAGTGTCAATGCCATTCAGAGCTACCGGGACTCACAACCCCAAGGTGGAAAGGTAAATAATCCACCTCTTGTCAAAAATGAGTTAGATGCTGGTTAGAATAATGTGACCATTCTGTATATGTTATTGTTGGTATTTATATAGCACCAACTAATTCCGCAGCGCTTAATATTATGAAAGTGGGAAATTTACAATAAATGAGACAATTACACAGTGACATAGGAACAATTGGTAGCTGAGGGCCCTGCTCAAATGAGCTTACAGTCTAGAGGAGATGGGGTACAAATACACAACAGGGCAGCAAGGGTGACAGCTACTAAACAAAGTGGAAAAGTAGTGGAGGGTGGCTTTTAGGCGATTTGGATAAGTATAGATAAGTTACTCTGGGAGTCCTTAAGCATTTGTGAGCAGATGTGTTTTGAGTGACTTTGTAAAACAATTTTAGTCTTGGTAGGGGAGAGTCTGATGGGGGTAGGCAGGCTGTTCCAAAAGCAGGCAGCCGCGCGAGTTAGCAGTAAGGGTGTGAGCAGCGGACAGACTGAGAAGGGGCCTATCTATGAATAAAGGAAGAAATGTAAGAGGGGCTAGAGTTGATAAGAGCTTTATAGGCAAGGGTTTGTATTTTGAATTGACACCTCCAGGAAACCAGTGTAAGGATTGACAGAGGGGCGAGGTATGGGAGGAACGACGGGTGTGAAAGAGCAGCCTGGTGGCAGCATTCATCACTGATTGTAGGGGGACAGTTCAGCTTTTGGGGAGACCAACTAGGAGAGAATTATAGTAGTCCATGCAAACATTTATCAGAGCATGAACAAGCTCCTTGGCAGCATCTTGCATGAGAAAGGGGCGGATGCAGGTGATATTTTTAAGGTGGACTCGACATGTTTTAGCAATACACTACATGTGGCGCAAAGGTGAGTCCAGATGATGATAAATCCTTCTACGTAAGATGGTTTGATATTTGTTTTGATACTACTTACATATTTATCCAGATGTATATTGGGATGATGTGAATAACATTTCCTGACCTTTTAAACATCAGTGAACAAATAATAGGTAAGATGATATCCTCTTTATATTCCACAACTGGAAAGCTCCTGTTTTTATATTCATCAATTGAGGTGATGCCCATACCATTGCAGGTAGTTTTAACATTTGGCAGAAGGCTAAACTCAGATCCTGGTTTTGTGATATTTACACCCAAAATTTAAATGAATATGCATTGATCTTGATTAATAAGCATTTTTCATAGTTCAAACCTTTTCCTGAGGGCTATCGAGGTGTGTAAACTGATAAGGGCAGTGAAATGAGAAACATCCAAATAGCTGATGCATTTTCATGAAGGTGTGTTTTCAGTGAATTCTTGAAGGACTGTAGTCTAGGCGGTAGTCTGATGGCACAAAGTAAAAAAATCCCCAAAAAGGGGAAACGAGCAGATGTCATGAGAGGGTCATTTTCAGAATGAAAAGCGGTATATTTGTTGAAGATGAAATGTAGTGTGTGCTCTCTAGGTTAATGTTGACATTGGATCCTGAAGGGTACGGGAAGTAAATGTAATGATGGGTGAGTGGTGGGGATAGCGTACCCCGTCAGGTCTAAAAATAAAATTCCTAAGTACCCCTACCCTGTGAAAGTTATTTCTATTATTTTAAATGCCAAATGAAACGTAAATGCTGAAATTTAAGTTAATCCCATATTGGAAATCAAGTCTGATTAAAGGAACACTATAGTCACCAAAACGACAACTTAATAAAGCAGTTTATTTGTATAGATCATGCCAGTGAATTTTCACTGCTCAATTAACTGCCATCTAGGAGTTAAACCACTTTGTTTCTGTTTATGCAGCCCTAGCCACACCTCCCCTGGCTGTGACGGTGAATGGTTTCACTTTCCATTAGATGTAACTAAAAGATTTGATGATCTGCTCTGTAAATTGACCTTTAATTATGTACATGAGGCTCCTAGATGGTCTAACAAGCTATTAACAGGGCAGGAAATAAGAAAATCTAAATTAAACAATTTTCTATAAAGGAAGGATAAAAATTAGACAACTCTACAGGAAGTGCTTAGGGAGGCTGAGTAAGTCACATGCAGGGAGTTGTGGCTAGGGCTATGTAACAGATCACCTGGCACGCCGACTGGGTACCTCCGTTAAAGGATGCTCCTAGCGTTTCCTGAGGACTCCAAGCACTCTGGCAGACACCACAATCACCGAACCGGAGAAGCGTATACCTTCTCTCAAGCATCTGAATGCTATAAACAGCTGAATAGGCAAAAACCATACGGATGGGTTTAGACTCCTAGCAGTCAAACTGGAACAGCATACAATAAATCCTCCCCCAATAATGAGACGACACTTCACTTTGAGGGTTAAGTAGGAACTGCAGATTTATTCACACAACCTCCTTTTAAGACATTCTCCCATGCAAGGGAGGGATCCACAACAATTAGTACCCCAGCCAATAATGTACCAGTTACCTCCCACACATCTCCCCTTAGTGTGACACATAATCCCATTATTACAGACACAAATTCCCTGGGTTACTGGATGTACCCCTAAACATAGGGTTACCCCTTTAAATGTTACATCCCCTGGTAGCCCTGATCTAGGTGAGACACTTATCCAAAAATCACCCAGATCGGACCAGGCGTTCGGGAATTATGGAGGGTTAAAGTTTTGACCGACTGCATGGCAAAAGTATCCGAAAATAGTTTCATGTATTTTTGCCCTGCAGTCGGTCACAGAAAAGGGAATGAAAACATACGAATTGCCTGGGTTATAGAGCCTGGGGAGGGTTTAAACGAATTCCCTTATTCGTGGGGTTCTTTCTACCGAACGGTGGGTCATTCGGTAGTTTCCACACGAATTCATGGAAGTCTGGAGGTCTCAGCTGTGTTTGCCTAGTCGAGTGTCCGATTTTAGTTCGAGACACTCGACGGCAAAACACCGTTGTTCGGGAATTTAAGATGGCGGCCGCCATGTGTTCGTTTCCCGAATGGCGGCCACCCAGAGGACAAAGAACACATTACACAGATGGCCAATTACCCGCTTGCAACAATGTTGCAAATGGGTAATTGGAGGCACACTTATTCCCGGGTGGTCTGGCTGTTCGGTAGTTTCACTCAATATAATGAATGGAGTGATTCTACCGAACAATCAGGCGAATGCTGCATACACATATACAATTTAGCCGAACACACAGAAACATACGTAATATAAAAGACATCCTTACGGTAATCTGCTACCAAGTCTTAAAGGGGTATTGTTCCTAAAAGTTATAATATGTCCCCGGATGGCCCTTAAAGGGCCAGTAGCAGCAATATAAAATATCACATGCCCAAATATTGCATTAAAAGTACAAATTTACCAGGGGTCCTAGTCAGCAGGTAGGAGGCGGGCAGCCAGGCCTCTCCAAGGTCCAGTGGCGAGGCGGGTTCCGCCACAGGCTACATAAACAAAGTTATTTAAAGGGACACTATAGTCACCAGAACAATTACAGCTTATTGAATTTGTTCTGGTGAGTAGAATCATTACCTTCAGGATTTTTGCTGTAAACACTCAGAAAAAAATGCAGTGTTTACATAACAGCTCAGTGACTACTTCACTGGCCATTCCTCAGATGTCTGTTAGCTGATTGGCCAAGGCTGTGTTTGAATCATGCTGGCTTTGCCCCTGATCTGCCTCCTTGTCAGTCTCAGCCAATCCTATGGGGACGCATTGTGATTGGATCAGGCTACCACTTCTGCTGATGTCAGCAGGCAGGTCTAAAGGAAACCGGGACAGGCAAACAGCTGCAGACTTGAATACAAGTAAGATTTACTATATTTAGGGGGCTAGATGGTGGTTTTAAACCTATAGGGTCAGGAATACATGTTTGTGTTCCTGACCCTATAGTTCTTTAACTCCTGAATGGCAAAGAATTGAGCAGTGAGACTGTAGGGGTAGGATCTATACACCAAAATTGCTTCATTGTGTCCCTTTAAAAGGTAGTAAAGATTTTTTAATAAAATGTGACTTTATTTTATGAGTATTTAACAAAGTATATTTATTTCCGTTCATCCAGCCTCCCTACCTTTGGAAGAGCTGATGTGAATGCTTTCCAAGGGGGATCCTTTCCTTCGGGTCAGCTTTGGGCCTTGTGTAATCTTTGTGCTATTCCAGCACTGCTATCTCGGAGTGATGTCATCACCTGCCGGTTGAGCAAGGGAACAGTGCTGGAAGAACCTAAATATTAGCATTCCCTCGCCACCTGCCTTCATTCTGCCCTTCACACACAGCTCTGCACATTCAGGTAGAGTAGGCACTTGTCACCCAGCTCATGCATCACACCCTATGTCAGTGGTTTTGTAACATTCAGCCTAAACACCACTTTATGTGGTTTGTCTGTTAGTTTGCAAACCACAGTAATAAGAAGGCTGTGCTTTGTATGTGTTACCAGGGAAGCCCTCCTCTGAGCATGCCTGCTGTTTGAATTTAGACTAAGGGGAAGCAATATCTGCAGGGGAAAGATGGGTAGTGTTTGAGAGCAGCACACATGGAGACTTTTGACAAGCAATCTAAGAATGCAGA